CAGTACCTGATGTCATCAGGAACCTGACTGTCACTGTAATATCAACAACATCTGTCTCATTGACCTGGGCTCCTCCTGTGGGAAATGCTGCCTTTTATAGTGTACTATGGAATGACAGCAGTACTCAGCAGAATACTACTTCACTTAACACATCCATAACCATTAGTAATCTGACCGCTGGAACTCAGTATACATTCAGTGTCACTGCGATTGCAGGAGATAATCAAGCTGCAGGAGCTCCTACCAGTCTGTCACAATATACCAGTGAGTCTTCATTATGAATGAACCTTTGTCTTTTACTTTGGAATTTCTTCTAGTAGTGGTATAGTTTTTGTTAGTCTTATACGTCTGTTGTGTGGAAATAATACTTGGTTTGTTAAAGCTTTCTTGAGTTGGAATAGAGTGGACGGTTACTCGGAAATGTACTGTCTTCCAGATTCTGTTGTGCGGAAATAATAGTTGGTTTTTTGTAATGAAGATGCTGTAATGTTTTATTATGAAGGTATAATACATTATAGATGACAACTTCAATAAAAAAGGATTATTTTAATGTTAATTATTAAAAACTATTAAAAAGTGTCAGTATTACAATATTCCCTTGTTGATTGTATTTTAGAGATGTGTTGATTATCAGGGGTGATACTTTTTAATTTCAAGCAGTTTTTCCAGTATTATTAATTGAAATGAAATGCTGCTTTTTGTTGCAGTTTAGATTTGGTACTCATGGTCAACAGTCTTATTTTACTTTATGTGGTGTATTTATGCCCCATTGTAGTTATGTGGTCTTTTTCTGCCCCATTGTAGTTATGTGGTTGCTCTAAATGGTCACACAGTTCCCTGCATGAGATTTTCTGTTTATTGCCACATTGAATGAAATCTTGAAATGAAATTCTTGATGAGTATAGCAATGTCATCATGGTATTACATGACATTTAAACTCAATATATGTACTGGATCATTGTGAATGACTGTGCTATTGTTATGCCAGAGTAGTTGTCCATATCTACTCAGTCTCTCTCTCTCTCTCTGTCACATACAGATCTTCCCAAACCAAGCTGTTCTGTGTCAAATAGAGGCACAAATAATTCAATTGACGTCACCTGGACAGCTCTTGTAGGCCATGTAGAACATTATGTAGTCAATCTGACAAGTCAGTACATTGAGGCCAGTATGATTTCCACCTGTTGCTTACAGAGCATTAATGACTTGGCGGCTGGAACTGTGTACAATGCCACAGTGATAGCAATCAGCGGCCCCGTCCTTGCAATATCAGACCCATGTTCAAATGCAACTTGTGAGTAGTGACCAATGCCTATGCTTGTGTAGTTCATGAGTGTCTTTGTGTTAAAATGCCGGAATTTAAGAGGTTGTGATTGTTGTACCCCTAGATCCAAATGAACCCGGAACTATCATAATCACAAACAAGACTGTAAGTTCCATTTCTTTGACGTGGAGTCCTGCTGTGCCCCCAGAAAGGCAGTTTAACTACATTGTGAGCTATGAAACTTCATCACGCTACACAATGACAGTTTCTACGAACAGTGCCACCTTGTCTTCACTGCTCTCTGGGACACCATACAATATCTCCGTGATAACGGTTGGACCCCTGAACTTAACTAGCAAACCAGTCTGGAAATATCTGGTCACAACTTGTAAGTTTTCACCTGTCTTTAAAAATATCTTAATCTTAGATGTTGGTTGTGTAAATACATTCTTTAAAATCCAAATGTATCCAGTCAGCATGATCGGAGGAGGGGTCTCACAGCGGGTTGATGCTTGATGGACCCCAGGGTTGATGGCTATCAGGGTTCAGCTAAATGTTGGCTGATTTTTATTGGTTCTGACATACCCTTTTTACAGATGATTTTGAGGAAAATAAAACTTTGATATTATTAGGGTGTCATTTCTGTAGTAAGATAAGTTATTAACCCTAGTCCTAACACTGCTGTCCATTCCAGCACTGTCAATCAGAAGGGCTTTTATTTTATTTTTTTAAAGTGTTAGTGTGTGTTGCTTTTCTATTTTGAGACCCGTAACTAGTCAATGTGCTAGATGAGTAAAGTGAAACCTTAAACTAATGACATTTCATGTTTTATAACTTTGTTTTCTTGTGTCAGTTTGACAAACACTGTTAGTTTATGGAGGAAAGGCCATTGAGATTAGGGGCACAGTCCGTGAAGAGAAGATCTTTTCTCACGTGGAAGTTCAGGAGCATGTAGTCATGTCTTGTCAGATGGTGCTTCATGTTTTTAATAATAACAATAATAATAATAATAATAATAATAATAATAATGTGCCTCTGATCAACTGCTTTAAAAAAGCAAGTGATATGGAACATTCACACCACATATTCTTTATTTCAGATTTTCTGTTAACCAGGATTTCCATATTTTTAGCGTAATAGAAAGATGTGGTCTGTGTTGGTTCAGCTAATTCTGCCAAATTTGGGATCTGTTACCCTGTTTCCTGACACTCAGCTCTAATTACCGCACCTTAAGTTTCATGTGGCCTCAGCACTGTGAATTGCACTGTATCTGAGAATCTGCAATACCTGGGCTGGCAAGTACTGTAGTTTGGTACCTGGCATCTGCTGAATATTGAAAATTAGCCATTTTTTATTGGAAAATAATGCCCATCAGATTGAATGAAGGGAAATCCTACTGGAATCCAAAGGCACTTCTGAACTTATGACACATATTGTTACTTTTTTGTGGAAAAAAATAAGTCTGTGCTGTATAAGAATAGGAATTTCCCAGCACTCGTACAGTATTTGCTGTTGTATAGTATCGATCATTTGTTTGCTGAGTAGGCTAACTGTATAACTGTGGTATCTTGTCTGGCTGCAGCTAATTCTGTAATAATGTTGCAGGTGTGAGATGACTAACCGTAATGGGACACAAAGGATAGTTGCTAATGTTTAGAAAATTTAGACCAGTTGTGAACCAAGCCCACAAACTTACATTTCACTTCATACCATTACAGACTTACCCATTAAGATTTTGATGATTACTATGCAACCTCTCTTTTTGAGTTTACCGATATGACCTCATTCTCACTGCATCAATCCACATTCAAAGATGGAGTTGATGATATATTGGTTTATTGTTTTTTTTTGAGCAGAAGTGTCATGATATGAGTCATGCAAAAGAAATCGTAGCGATATTAGACTTAAAACATTAATGTCCTTTTTTAATCCTCAGTGCCAGGGAGTGTTCAGGGTCTCCAAGTGTTTAACACCTCGATGACTGCGATTACACTAAATTGGAGTCAGCCTATGGATTACAACGGGTATCAGTACATGGTTATGAAAAACGGGACAATCATCAAAAACATATCAGCTGTGATCCTGTATGTGGATGGTCTCAGTCCTGGAACATGTTATCCATTCTCCGTGATAACGCTGGCGGCTGATGGCACTGGAAGTGCGGGGGTCAATGTTACTGGCTGTACAGGTATGTACTGCGGCTGGTGCAAAAATGCAACATATGACCTAGACAGAAAGAATGCTGTCTACGGGTCACATGGTCATGGTCATGGTCATGGTCATAGCTAGCCACATTTTTTCCAGATGCTGCTCCACCAGAAGTCTTCAAGTGTGATGGCCCAAATGGAGGGGATGCGAATATCAATATATCTTGGCAAAATCCTGCAGGAAACTACAATGGCTATGAGATTACCATAGTGGGTGTGAATGTGAATGTGTCTACGTCTATGATAGCCGGCCATACTTCTTTCACTTGGTTCAATCTTGCATATAGCACGACATACACAGTGATGATCATGACTGTCGGCCCAGGAAAAAATAGCACAAAAGTGTCCATATCATGTAAAACGGGTGTCACAGGTATGTGCTCTACATCTCCGCTGGCATCAAAATGCCTGTTTATAGCCAATCAGCAGGGTATACACAAGCAGAGACTGTAAGCTAATGAACTCTCACTTTCATTTTTTCTTTCAGTTCCATCCATGATCAATGTGACTTCAAGTGTTTTATCACCCTCTCAAGTCAGTTACAATAGGTTTGTTTTGACTTTACAAAGTAGCATCTTCGATAACAGCCATGGCCACATTACACATGTTGGCGTCTTGGTTGCGATAGATGGTGAGTCTCAGTACTATTGCTCTCCATGACTACATTTTGTTTTTGATAAAAGCTACTTTAAGGAATCATTGGAAGTACGATGGCCTCCAGGTGTGGGGTTCAACTCTTGTCCTGCCTGTTGGACTTTTGGATTTTGTTCTCCCCATGTGTGTATGAGTTACCCCCAGTGGTTCCAGTATCCCTCCACAAAGTAGAGCTGCCATCTGTCTTGTACTGAGAACTAAAACATGGTGTCCCTTTTTTAACCAAAAAAGGATGCAAGTTGTTCTGTATTTCATGATTTGGCCCCCTAAAAGGCAAATCTTATTGTGGGGGTGCTGGACAACCAACCCCTCCCCAACTGGGCAATTTTTATTATTGAGGATAGCATACTGTACTTCTTTAAATTGAAACTGGCAATCGTAGGTCAAACACACAGGGTTAAGTTGATCTGATCTCTTCAGTTTGCCCCTGGTGTGTGTTTGGGCCCTGTGGTGGACTGGCACCATGATCAAGATGTCTCCTATCTCCAGGTTTCTCAACTTTTCCAGCCGCAAGGCTTGGCTATTTCTCATTTACCATGTTGGTGGACCCTCCACATTTCACCGACTGGAGGGTGGGGTATCACCCTCTGTAAATTTCACAACCCATCAGTAAATTTTGCCAACTTCGCGATTCCTTGGTCATTTTCACCAACCAGGGTGACCCCGGTGATCAGATTTGCATCTGTGCAGCGATCCATTAAGCACCGAACTGCTTTTCCCTGCCCCAATTCCATGGCTCACTTGAGATTGCTTGCAGACTAGTGGTTCAGAAATCTTGCCCTGTTCACACTCTGTGCTTCCTGCGATAAGCTCTCACCATGACTCACCATGACTCACCAAGATACTGCATCACAGGAAGCCATCGTGGATAAGCGGGTTCCTGGAAAACCATTTTCATCAATCTGTATCCATCCATTTATCTATAAATTCATCCATCCATATAAGCTGCTTTTCTGCGTGAGGAAATTATCAACTAAAGTGTTTTATTTATATATTCCTGGTCAAGGTCATAGTGGCACTTGGAGCCTAGCAATCTGTATGAGTTCTTCATGTAGTTGTTTCATTTTATTTCAGGTAATACAAGCGATAAGCAATATTTAAGCAAATCCTATGATGTCTGGAATGCAAATAAAGTCGGTGCTTACCTCGCAGTAGTAAACGAATTTCAGGGAGGGACTAGTCGGGCCAGCCAGGCCGATCAAATCTCCATTACCGTCGGAGACAACTCTCTGTGGAATGCATACCAGAATGGAGCCCTACAACCAACACAGAATTATCGGTATGGACTCAACTACAGAGCACATGCACCAACAGAGTGTCAACATAATTTAAAAACCACTGGCACTGCATCTATGCGCTTGGAGTAATTTAGCAGGTTTCCAAGTTCAGGTCATTCAAAATATAACATTACCTTTAGTGTAAAAATACTTCTGTATAATATGCAATTGGACAGACGTTCAGTAGTCCAGTAGTTTTCTATTTTAGGAACTATAGTACAGGAAGCATCATCACATTAATGAGTATAATGAGTGCTTTTGGTGCCACACATATTTTAAAAAATACTTTATTTCTTTGAATTTCTTATAGCTACTCTATTGTTGCGTTTACTTCACTCATTTTGAACAACAACTTTGTGGACATCTCTCAGTCCTTCTTCAGCCTATCAGGTCCTGCTTCCACTACCCTTCCTCAAAATCCAGGTACAGGACACTTTTTAAAAATTTGATCCCTCTTTGCATTATGATCTGCCTTGGTGTTAAGCATATGTTCCAGGGTTTTGCATAACTTGAGACTGATGCCTGTCATCCTTCTGTGTTTGTCGATTAGCTGTCATTGGTGGAGCAGTAGGCGGGGTTTTGGCAGTCTTAGTCATTTTGATTATCGCCGTTATCATCGGTGTGTTTTTTTGGAGAAGGTGAGGGTTCATTATTGCCTTATATTTTATCTCTATGTTTATGAAACTATTCTGAAGAAAGTGTGAAAATCTATAAATGCAGTGTGACTTTGACATGTTTAATAAATGGATATCATTAAAAATGATCATATATTATTTCTTCTCCAGAAAACAGCCCAGAAGAGAAATAACGGAAATCCCTATTCAGTCAATGAGGTATCTTTTGCAGTTATGTGTAAAGAAATATAAATGAACTTCAATGCATTGTGTTATATGTAAAACATGAATAGTAAATTGTATATTTGTTAAATTTGCACATTTTTAACTTCTTATGCTTTTGTTTTCCAGAGCCAAAGTGTAAGTTAACATCTCTTTTTGCAACCATCAATTTTTAATTTTGTGTTTTATGCCGTAACATTTGCCTTCGTGCTGTGCGTACATGGTTCCCTTTACTTTACAGTTCCATGCCCATAAGGATGGAGGATTTTGAGACCTACTACAGAAAACAACGTGCCAATTCCAACTGCGGCTTCGCAGAAGAATTTGAGGTAAAATTCAGCCTGACCGTCATCTTCCTACTATCTCTGCTAGTACCTGAAAGCATCCATTCTCTAGCATCGATGTCTTTAGTCTTCCATCGGTGTATTCTATCGCAGAGAACGAGGTCGTTTCTCATGCTGTGTCCTTGGGTCATTTATACTTTTTAACAGGACCTGAAATCTGTGGGTGTGGCCCAGTCCAAGAACAGTGCTCTGATATTGGAGAACAAAGGGAAGAACCGCTACAACAACGTGCTTCCGTGTAGGTCTCACCGGGGGGGCAGCAGTGTTCTTCAGAACAGAGAAGCTTTTGCTCATGAATGGATCCAACTCGTGTTACTTTTCCCTCACAGATGATTTTTCACGGGTCAAACTCTCGGTACTCAGAGGTGCCCACGATGATTACATCAATGCTAACTACATGCCGGTATGCATTTCCAGACCGTCAATAAGCTGCTGATTGTATTCATCTGACTTTAAGTGTTAATGATTCAGTTTAGTTCAGTGTATATTTTTTTAAATAAGTGGTAACACTTTACTTAAAGCAGTCATCATAATGCATTATACATACCTTCATAATGTATTATAATGCATTTATAAAGTATTACAAACACAGCTATAACTTTTTATAAAAAGGCATACATTATAACCATGTTTATTATGCACTATGAATGGTCTATGAAGCTCTCATTTATAATGCACTACAAATACCTTCATAATATGCATTATGAAGGTGTGCACAGCATGTCAACCTTCTGACATGCTAACCTTTTACATGCAAGTCATAGTCTCCACCTGGTGGCCAGTGATTTTGCCTGTCCATGTGTGCAGGGCTACTTTTCCAGGAAGGAGTTTGTTGCAGCCCAGGGTCCATTAGCTTGCACTGTCAGTGAGTTCTGGAGGATGATCTGGGAGCAGAATGTCCACACGCTGGTGATGCTGACTAGATGTAATGAACAAGGACGGGTCAGTGCAAGACATTATTTTGACTTTTATATATTTATGGGCATTTATCATCTAATCTCTCACACACAGTGCCATTTAAGTAAGTGCTGTATAAGTGCTGAAATGAATGCAGCATTTTTTCTCGAAATCCAGTTTCTGGAAGTTCATAATCATTTTCTCTTTTAACTGATATATTTCCTTTATCAGTATATCAGTTTCTTTCTGTCTGAATGTCTAAGGTTAAAGCAAGTCTGTAAATGTTCTCATGTGACCAACAAACTCAGCTGCACATACAAGCTAATTGCTGAACCAGCATTGAACCAGTCTCGGTCTGTTGATAATACCTTGATAAGACCACCTAAAAGAAGTACATGTGTATAAACCCACACACATATGTTCATGCAAGTTGCGCATATTACTGTCAACCCATATCATCGTTGAAATAGATGGCATATGTTTATAGTAAAGTACATGGATTATACATGGAAATTTTGATCTTTTAACCAATCAGTTGAGTACTGTGTGACTGTGACTTTTCAGTTTTTTTTCAGTATAAACACTGTCCAAATTTCTTTTAATGCCAACATTGCAATTTAACATGCCAACATTCTTATCAGGTTAAATGTGAAGAATACTGGCCCCAGAAGTCCAAGCATTTTGACAATATATCCGTAACAATCACCTCAAGCATTGTACTGGAGGACTGGACCATAAGAGATTTTGATGTGAAAAACGTGAGTACAGGTCCTGCGAGAGAAAACACATTTTCTAGGGTGGCCCCAAATTCCATAAGAGAGTGTCTTCTAACCCCCCAGCCATGGCTTCAACCTGAAATCTTGCTTCCCTAACTCCCTCAGGTCAAGACGGCGGAGATCCGCTCCGTGCGGCAGTTTCATTTCACAGCCTGGCCAGACCATGGTGTGCCTCAGACCACTGAGCTTCTCATCAACTTCCGCCATCTGGTGCGGGAGCACATGGACCAGTACTCCCGCAACTGCCCCACTGTGGTGCACTGCAGGTGGGTCTGCACCATAGTGCATGAAAGTGTCAGTACACAGTGCATTGCAGCTGAGTCTCAGTACTCACTCATAGTGCATCACAGCTGTCTCAGTACTCACCTACAGTACCTTACAGCTGATGCTCCGTATTCTTCCACAGTACATCACAGTCAAGTCTCAGTACTCATACTGCATCACAGCTGAGTCTCAGTACTCATCCACAGTGCATCACAACTGAGTCTCAGTACTCATACTGCATCAGAGCTGAGTATCGGTACACATACACAGTGCATCAGAGCTGAGTCTCGGTACTCATCCACAGTGCATCACAACTGAGTCTCAGTACTCATATTGCATCAGAGCTGAGTATCGGTACTCACCCACAGTGCATCACAACTGACTCAGTCATAGGAGAAAGTCTGGTGGAGATTCTATTTTGAAGAAATTCCAATTCCAACTGAAGAAATGCCACTTAGGGAAAGGTACCTGCAGAAGATACTTGATCTTGTCACAGTAACTCAGAAAGTATTTAGGTGCTTTCACACTGAAGTTCCAGGACCTGGTGCCTGGTTGCAAGTTCCTGGGTTGTCTTGACCAAGGACCTTTGAAGCACCTAGCCACTTTTGTGTGTTGCTTTCATACTGCACAACAGAACTGGAATGTTTATGATAAATCAGCATGGGAGAAACAAAAAGCTCATAGGTTAAACTTCACACATAATTCGAAGCTACACCGCCTTCCCAAAACAAAGGACAATAAACAAGTTGTTTTGTGTAGTTATTTGTTAGATATCTGTTGGTTATTGGGGGGTGATTGATTGTGATCAAAACAGGACACAGCCTTTGATTTATAATTTATTTGTGCTACCTGCAACATGTTTATATTGCATTATTAAATCTGGCCAGCAGATTAATCTTCTGGGTTCACAGAGTAGAACACATTTAACATATTCTACTCATAAGCACTGGCAAGTTTCACCAACAGCATCGGTGATATTAGACAAAATAATTGGTTATCTATCAAATATTCTGATGCACAAATATAGACACAAGCAAAAAATATACTCACTAAATGTAACTGAAGTACAAAAGTAATTCCATCTGCTCTGCTAGTTGCATCTCTTTTCCCCGCACTTACACATCACTTCCAAGTTAGCGGCGGTGCTTGTAGTCGACCAATCATCAAGCACCTTCCCAGTAGTTCCTGTTTGAATGAAAAGTACCTAGTCTGGAGTAGGTACTAAAAAAGGGTTTCGGGCCAAGTTCCTGTGGTATGAATGCAACAAAAGTTCCTGGTTCTGGAAAAAGGTTCTGGTGTTAAAGTGCCTTTTGATAGATATTTTTCATACTTCCCAGGAATCTGTATATCTGGGTTCCATTTCATTATAGGTCAAATGCACCAAAACTGAAGCATTGTCACTTAGTGGTGGCACATGACACATGCCAGAGACACAGATCTGGTCAAATTGATTACAATGAATCACACAAAGCTGGGTTTTTAATAAACATTTGAGGTGGGGAGATTGTGTAGAAGGATTAGAAATTGTAGAGGTTGGGGGAATGGGAGGATTAGGGATTAGATGGGGGTGTTGACTAGGCTGTCATCTATTCGGCTATTTGCGCCCAACCTCCTCACTCCCCGCCCCTCGGCCACACAAAAAAACATAAACACTGTGTGCTTGTATGGTTACACGTAACTTCAGTGTCTGAAGGTGCCAAAGTGGGATGCAAATATAAATGGTAGGGTACATTAAACACAAAATGCACCCTTGTTCTCGCTATAGTTAGCTAGCCTAAGGCACACAGAAATCTTGCTAATTAGAAATGTATCTCCCCCACATACAAATAGCGTTATTGACTACTGACAACTGGGCACAAATAGCACCTGCATACAGTATATATATTAAAATATTTTATTAAACTAACTACATAAATGTTTTCAGTCAGAAGTGGAATTATACCCCAGCCACTAATCATTGCATAACATAACATAACATTAAGTGTAGTACAGTGCGGCCATTCACATGCACTGTATTGTCTATGTGTGTATGAGTGCCTTTGCTGTGGGTGTTGTTGCAGCGCGGGGGTAGGGCGAACGGGGACCTTCATTGCCATCGATCGTCTCATCTACCAGATAGAGCGAGAGAGCATAGTGGATGTGTTTGGCACCATCCACGACATGCGAATGCACCGGCCACTCATGGTGCAGACTGAGGTGAGAGTGAGCCTCCTCCACTGGCTGTGTTTACACGTGTAAACAGGAATCCTGAACTCAAAGTAACGTGTTTTTTTTTTTTTATTTAACTCTTTCCAGGAGCAGTATGTTTTCCTAAATCAATGCGCCATGGACATTATCAAATCCAGGACCGGTACGAATGTGGACTTAATCTACCAGAATACAGCAGCACTTGCTATTTACGAGAACGTCAATTCCACGAATGTCAGCAAGAAAAATGCCCCCAAAAGCTAGTGATGAACATGTGCCAGCTGAGTTTTTATTGCACCTTTTGTAAAACAGAGATGCTGATTTTAATTTATTCCTAGACACAGACATCGCGGGACATATTTTATTATTTATTTTATTTAGTTGTTAATCAAAATATGATCATTTAAGTTGTAGGAAAATCCATATACAGGATGTTTGCAATAATTTTAAAATGAGGACATTTATTATAAAATTATACCTTTAGAATAAAAATGAATCTTTTGAGATTATGTTACTGTAAATGCTAAATGTATTTTTTTAACAATAAGTGCAATATCTTTATGTGGTTTCTGACTGTAAATATTTATTGTACTGATACTGTAGATGGCACTTCTGTAAAGTCTTAAGGTTCTATTCTGAGAATAGTACAAAAAATCTTTTATAGGAGTGCTTCCAGAGTGCTTACAGCTCTCACTGAAACCTTTACAACTTGCTAAAGATTTTATTAAAAATTGTTTCCACGCCTGATTGTTTTTTTGCAAATTGATGTCTTTTCTGCTCCATTTAAACTATGATTTTAAATTGCAATAATGTACCCATGCAATGATGAACAATTCGCTGGGAGGGTTTTTGAGCGCCTCAATAAACTTGCACTATATGGGCCATAAATATACAGTTTAATAACAGCTATGCAGTGCTCCTGTAGCTCAATAATTACAGTGTTGTTCTGGCAATGCAGTGGTTGTGTATTCAAATATATGGGTGCGCACATAAATTTTAACCCCTCTGCTGGAAGTTGCCTGCAGGGCTTATGAATATCCTAATTAACACGTGCATATAATATAAAAATTGCAGTGTAACACTTTTTTATTTTATTTATTTTGTAGTGTAATATATTTAGAATTGAATCCCACGGCTGTCTATAGGTAGGTCGCAGAACATCTTAAAAAACAACAAAATAAAATTTAAAATATACACAAGGGAGAATGAGTAAGTAAAATGCGTACTACGCAAAGCAAATGAGCCGTCTACGCAGGCTAGGGCGGCATCTATGGTAATTTTGTTGCAGCATAACCAAAATGCCGTATCGCCATAACATTGCTCAAGCACACATCAACGCACAACAGAAAACGCAAAGAAGCGCTGAACCACCCTGTCTATTATCCGGTACGTGTTATCTGACGGGAAAACAGTGAGAGGAAATGTGAATGGGATTTCTGAAAAGCTGCTTGTCCACACCTGAATTTTAAAACTCTACACCAGAAAATTACTAGCGGAATTAACTACCAGCGTTTTCTTCCTGCACATTCAGCGTGCCTGTGATAATCGGGTTGGTCATGTTTCTAGTTCGTTGCCGAAATTTGCATCTGAAGTGCAGTTAATTCAAATGTTGGTTAAAGAAAAATCCGAAAGCCTTTAAAATATGAACTCAGCCAAGATACATGAACTCAGTTCAGAGCTCTTTTGAGTTAAGGTGGGGTAACCAGACCTGTATGAATAGTGCTGAATGTTTCCAAATCAGAACACATTCCATATCTTGCAGATATATAGATGCTCACCTTACTTGATTAGATGACACTTGCTACAGATCATGTGGCAATGGATTTTAAAAATGAATGTGTTCTATAGTGGGGTGGCATGGTAGCACAGTGGCAAGAACTGTTGCCTGCGTTTGAGTCTCCACCATGGCTCCATGTTTGTTGAGTTTGCATATTCTCCCTGTCAGTGTGGGGTTCCCTCCGGGCACTCCGCTTTCCCCCCACAGTCCAAAAACACGCTGAGGCTAATTGGAGTTGCCAAACTGCCCATAAGTGTGACTGTGTGAGTGAATGGTGTGTGAATGCACCCTGCGATGGGTTATTGCCCCATAATGGGTTGTTCCCTGCCTTGTGCTCATAGGCTCCAGACCCCTTGTGACCCTGAAAGGACAAGCAGTTTCAGAAGATAGATGGATGAATATTCTGAGATGTTTAGCCAACATCCTACTGTAACTAAAGATTTTGGTATAGATTGGCGTGAAACTCAAGGTCGTCTGTGTCATTTCATGCAGACCTTGTGATTTTGCATTTCTTTATTCAGCAGACACTTTTATTCATAACAACATACAATTGTGAAAACAGGGTAAGTCTGAGGCCCCCAAGGACCGGATTGGAAAACACTGCCCTAGAGCATCTGGGGTTAAGGGCCCACAGTGACATCATTCAACTGCAGGATATAAACCTTCCAATCATGGGCACAGATTTATGCTTAAAGTGTGTAAATACAATGCCGGTAATTACCCAAGTTTGTCATGCTGGAATAGGCTGTAGCCTACTCAGACCACAGTTAGAGGTTTACTTCCTGTATTATTCTCACATTCACATTCTTAAGAAATATTTATTGAAAATATGCGTGACAAATTGGAGATTAACTACAATCACTATTTTAATTCACATGTTCAGTAAAGACAAGCATGGGACTATTTACCTTAGTGTCCGACTATAATCTGCCAGCAGGTGTCGTCCGAGTCGCAGGTGGGTTAAAGAACAAAACTATTCCTCTATTCTCGCTATCAAACAAAACAAACAAAAAAATATTACATACTGGACGGTTTACTACGTGCAATTTACATTTATTTATATTTTTACTTACTTGACATTTAAACATATAAGAATACAAAAGAATACATTTCTGAATAGGAAAATTGTTCATGAACGGTCATCTTTCAGATTTACATTATATATTTTATAAAACTGGATCTGCTATAAACTAAATTGATCTGATTTATAATTATGTGTGTTCATTTCGGTGCGTACACCATACATATAAATAGGAACAAAAACAAACGACACTGATAAAAGGTCTATAATAGGGCTGGACATAACAGGAACATGCAGACGTATCTTGGACTCTTTCACACACAAGTGGCAAATGTCGGTCCGTGGGGTACAAACCGCCTCTCCGCTTAATCTCGTGCTGGGCAGAGCCGGCGCGTTTCCTCGGATCCGCTCCGCGCTCCGTTCCACGTTTGCCTTCGCTCCCGCGCGCCCATCCCCGCCTCGCGCTCGCACGCTCTCCGGTATTTCCTGCCTGGCTGAGGCGACCAGCTGTTATTCGCCAGTCAGGTCGCTGCCGCTGGTCCGCTATTCGACTCACACCATCGCCACTTGGTCTCTTGCCACTTATCGTGTTTTTTATATTCATTTTCTAAATTCTGTGGTTTGTTGCCCCACCCCCCCTCAGCATCCCCCTATCACATCCACCATTTATCGGAAAGGCAGATACACGACACAAGTTACGGTTAGGCGGAGGTCGCTCGGGGGACGGGGAGACGGTCCCCTCCAGGCGCTGTGCTGCAAAAACAGGCGGACGGCCAGTCGTTTACCATCCTTTATCCGAAAAAGAATAACTATGTCATTTCATAACCATACTCACGGCTGAAAGCGAGTGAGGTACGGGGGGATTTCATGGCAACGGGAGGAAATCGGACGAATGCCTTCAGATGCTGCGAGCTTACTGCAAAGGACGGGGAAGCAAGAAATAAAATAAAATAAACCGGGTTGCCTTGAACAGTGACACTACAGGTAAGTTACGCTTGTTGCCCTTTATTCTTCTGAAATCAGTAGTCATTGAGTAATGCGTACATCAATGGCAAAGAGACACTTCACTATAATTTTAATGTGCCGATCACTGTGTCGTGATATTCTTGCATACGGTCTGTCTGTTAAATTGTCCCATGCCTTTCAGATAGCTGTATAATATAGTACAGTATATCACCGCTGACATTGAACAACACGCTGGAATCTCATCTAGGGCTTTTAAAAATGCATTGTCGCTGCACAGCGTAGCCAGCAGCCTAAACTGCGCTCCATCGCTATGAACTTAAAATCTCTGCCTTTGGTGTGAAGTGGGGTTCGTGTCGCGTTCGTTCGCTGAATTTGTGACACATTTGAGAAACTTGAGAAATTTCTGGAATGTGAACCTGTATAGTCAGGACAGAGGACACTGGTCATCCTCTGATGGGCGTGCCTTCAGGTGCCGCTGGCACTGGATGAGCAATAGCCTCCCTCAATAACATGCTTTTCCACATGTCTTTCTGGGTAGAAATCTCTTAAGTAGAATGTTGATAGTTAAGCCCTGGGCTTCTTCTCGTTGTGCTTTGTGACTGGAATACTTCCATGGTGATCCCATCACCTGTCTTTATGTCTGAAATCCAAGGTGCTGGAAGCTTCAATTGACAGCCAGGTAGCTTCTCCTCTTATTTGGGAAAACGTCTTTCTAATCATCTGTTGACTAATTTTCTTTCTAATTTAAAGGTTGAATTTGTGTTCCACCACCTTCTCTGACATATTAAGGGAAGGGACAGAGTATACACAGGATGGCCATCGGATTTTTATCATAGAGGACACCTCAAGGCCGGATGACATTTAAAATCTGTCTGTAGTTTGATAGTGTCTGGCATGTCAGTTAAACAAAAAAAGCCTTCACTAGGCCATTCAGTTGACCTCCATGTTGTCTTTCTACCAGTGGACATAGTGAACAGTTCATTTGCATCCTGGGTTACTAATATTTTTATTATAAACACGTACTTTAGTCTCAACAAGGGCATAGTGTCCCACTGAGTAGTTCTCTTGGTCAGTTTTATAATAGTCTTGTGATTTCAGTGCATCGTCCTAAAAGTGACAATGACATGAATTTCTGACATTGCTAACTGAAGTAGTGACTCTTGGCTATACTGCTGACAGAGGTTACAGGTGACCTTCAGCTGCTGAGAGCAATAACTACAAATTCATCATTCAGTGTCAGCAGAAGTCTGTGTGTTAAAAACAGAGGTCCGAGATAGTGATGTGAGCAGAGACTCAATGTACTCCACGTACAGTTAGGTCACCAAAAAGGTTGTTATTATTAGGAGACATTTCTCAGAATGTCAGTGTTGATTATTTGTAGCACATCTCATTGATGCTGTATCAGTAGTTTTGTTTTTGGCTATAGGCTGGCTTGAAATGAGATTTAGCATTTCCACACCTTATATAGTTGGTATTAGTCACTCCACATCCTTGATTTTAAGTTATTCCAGTGTCTGACATTCTACTGCACCATCCTCAGCTGCATTCTTTCTGCATTTGTCACATTTTACTGGCAATTACATAGCTGAAACCTTCAAAGGGTCAGACAAATACTTTTGCAAATTAACAATTTGTAAAAAGCAAAAGGTTGGGATACTAGCTTTGTTTTTATTTTCTGAACAAATTCAGATTCACCTAAACAGCAGCCTGAATCACAGCAGAGGGGTGTGTTTGTGTCTAGTGAATGATATAAATGTTTTTTATTCTGAAACTTCTAAGACACTTCTTTACTCCTAGCTATTTGTCTTAACTAGTTGTTAATAGGCTTTAAAAAGCTGTCTCTAAAATAGGACATGATTTTGTACTCTATGAAGATACTTAACCAGTAGTTTTTCCTGTTGGTTTATCACATTGGGTTGTAGGTTGTGTTGTGGGTCATAAAAGCAAGTCACCTCTGAATGAAATATGGCTGTACAGGTAAATGGAAAATAACATTGTGCTATCGAAATGAAAATTCTGTACCTGAGGTTGTAAAATAATTTCCTGTTCCATCCATCCATCCTTCTATCCATCCTTCCATCTATCCCTCTGTTTTCTATAACTTGCCCAGCTAGCAAGCAGCCCAGATTGTAGGTTGTACTTAGATGAGCTTGTTCACAATGAGACCTTCCAGTGTCCATGGTAAACTGCTGAAGTGTAATTTGTTTGAGATTAATTTAGCAGAGCATACACAATCATATCTATGTCCGAGTCTTTGTAACATTGAGATGTGTCATTAGGAAATCCATAGTGAAAGTTACTGTGCATATGCAGGCAGCCCCCAGGTTATGAACATTCAACTTATGGACAACTCGTACTTATGAACAGACTGCCATAAAATCTGTTATATTAAAAATTAGGGTTAAATACAATGGTTAGTAATAATGAATGTATGCACTACTTTTTGACATTCGTGAAAATATTGCAGGGCTTCAGCGGTTCATCGCCTTGAAGTGCAGTGCAGTACTGTATGTAGTTACGTTTATTATTACTGCATAATAATAATTATTATTATTATGTACTGTATTATCATTTTTACAACTTACCTACACATTCAATTTAAAGACAGACTTAGGAAATGGATCTTGTTCCAAACCTGGGGACAGCCTATATTGTATTCTATTAGAAGTGATATAGCCATTGAGACTTGAGGTGAGTCATTAACTTGAGTCTTCTTCTTGAATGGTTAAACTTGAAGTTTTGACAGCTTCTGATTGGGCTAAGGACAGTGACGCAATGCTAGTCTGATAAGTGACTGTCACAGGACCTTAGTGAATGCCCTGGCTTCCTTTTAAAAAGTAATGGCAAGTTAAAACAAGGAGCTATATATTCTGCTGACTTGAAACACTTGCAATTAGAGCAAAGCAAAGGATTAAAACACCCAGTGGCACCCATTTTATTCTGATACACTGAGTCATCCACCCTGAAAAAATGAACTCTAAAGTATAACTAGGCCTAATCAAGAAGGTTATTAAGGAAAAGTTTTCTGGTGGCATTTAGGATATTGCACTGCAAGAGTCACCAGAGCGCTGAACAAATTGTCTTTTGTTCTTCTACATAATAAGATCGTCTTCTTTCTCCCTCCCTAACGCATCATTTTTCAAGCTGCCCTAGTCATCCCACACCCTCATTGTTGCTGGCAGATTAATATCCCGAGTCTACTATGCTGGATTCTGCAATTTTCCCAGTAAACACATTTCTGTCCTAGTGTGGTATTATCCTGTGCCTTGTCTTACACTGTTATGCAGCCAGTGTAAGAGCTATAGCATTCATCCATTGCCTCAGATTCCATTTTTGGGATGTTGGTCTGGAGTCGGTGTGGACGTCTCTTCACCTGAATGTAAGGAGCAGCCATCTAGGGAGATTAAGAATTCAGTTACGTGGCTGCCTGAATGACATCTCTTCTCTCCTGACATGTCCTCACATTTGTCATTTTTGCTGTCGTGAAGTTAGTGAGACCATTTGCAACCATGGTCAGAAGCGATGCTTTGGCACATCGGCTCAGACAATACTCTCAGTGTTCAGCAGGCAAAATGAAATAGTGCAGATTGCATGTGCAGAATTCAGACTGGTGGTCTATGACGTCAGTGACTTGTTTCTTCGATGCTCACACTGTAACTACCAGTTCATTTCTTTTGCCCAAAACTGGTTTGGAGTAACTGGCATCCCACCCAGGATGTATCCCAGTTTTATCCCATGCCAGCCTGCCTCTGACCTGGATATTCGCTTAGAAGATGGATAGATTGTTTGGAGTAGGTTGAGGTTCTAACTGCATATCTTCATTTAAGACTTGAAAGGAGTTGAAATTGTTTGTAAATATTGTTTTCTATTCTAATATAACCTACTTGAATAAGAATTTAGATCAAAGCCAAGTTTTACAAGAACACAGTGAAACTAGATCACCTCATATTATTTTTCTTGACACAATAGCGTTTTGTGCCCAGTAGCTTAAGCTGAAAGATCTAACTTAAAACCTTAAGTGTAACATAAGTTTGTGAAAAGTTGATAAGGCCCGCTGTCTCAGTTTCCATTTTAAAAACAGTGAAAGTGAGCAACCAGAGCTCTGTTTTCAGATCTCTAAATCATTTTTGCTTCCTGGGGTCTTCCTTAAGACTGTTAAGAAGCCAAATTTCAGATTTTATGGGTTCAAGGAAATTAAGTCATTCTTCAGCTTCTCCTTCCACTCCTCGTCAGCTCAAAAGAGTTTTGCCATGAGTAAAGGAGCCCAAACTTAATGCACATATAAACACTGGAATACATTTATCTGGGGTATTTTTCTTCCAGAATGAGGGAACTCAATTCACTCTGTTCACTGTCAGCTGAACCAAAAAGGTTTGTGAAGATTAGCAGTGTGAAACCCTGCTTTCTAAAAACAGATTTTGTAGTGATAATTAGGTAACCGTGTCAGGACAATCTGCAAGCAAACAGGAGTGATCTAACTGAGTTTAATTTTATACCAGGATGTCATTTCATACTGCATAGATGGAATTGATTGAATTTTAGAAGAATGTGAGTTTATGCAAGCAAATAATCTTCTGTCACTATTTTAACTCCACAGTGGGCTGACTGGCTGCCTGTCACACAGATGTGGATTTTCTCAGGAAAGCATTTTTTAAAGGCACCTACGAATCTTTCATGGAATGATAGGATATCACATAGCCTGTGCAGTTCTTATTTTTGACACAAAATCTGTTTTAGCTGTCAGGAATATCGACTCATTCCCCTGTTAACAATTAAAGTTAGAACTAGTCATTTTAATTGTATAGGTATGTTGATTGTCAAGGTAACATCTCCTTTGGTGTGTGTGTGTTGGGGGGGGGGGGGGGGATCCGTGACATTTGTTATGGCTGAAAATTGTGCTAGAAGACAGACAGTATTATACCAACCAACCAACATAAACAGAAAGACTTATGCCTCAAGAATTAAAAAATGCTAGTAAAACCATAGAGTCAATGTTTAAGTCATTTTTTCACTGGAAA